TCAGAGCGTGGGATCCTCAGGGATGGCCATGATGACCATTGGGCTCTGTGACTGTACCTGCTCTACCCTGCGGACACCTTTTAATCTCACCCACCACATCTTGCTGGTTGAAATAATAAATTGAGAGGCTGCCCACAAGTTTGTGTGGTCACGGTCTTACTAAACCCCACTAGACCCTACTGATCTTGGATTCCTTGCCGGGTCTCACTCAAAGTCAGTGCCTCTCAAGACACCCTAAGCCGTGTGGGCTAGATGTGTGTCTCCAAAACTGCCCCTTTACCACACCTCATGCCTCCCAGATTGTACTGAAATGTTGTCCCTTTTGATGAGGCCATAGTCTAGCTCGGCCGGCTGTTGTCACTGGGCCCTTGGCCCCAATAGCTGTGCCCTCTGGTGCTGGGATCTCTTCACCCCCTGTAGCGGCGCTCTCTGGTACTGGGCTCCCTATGCCTAGTTGCTGTGCCTTCTTTGGCACTGGGCTCCTTGCAGCCCTCCTGGTGCTTCCTCACTGGCACTGGGCTCCCTGCAGTCCTGTCACTATGCCCTCACTGGTGCTGGGCTCGCTTCAGCCCTAATGAGGCCTCTTCCTTCTGGTCCATCGGATTCAAATAACAATATAAATACAAGCCTCTGGGCTATAATGTAACAACAGCAATAACACTGGAAGTCGTCACACTCTGCCCCTTTAAGGAGGCAAGCTTCTCCCTCAACAATGTGTGCCTCCTAGCCCCAGATACTTTAGGAGCTCCTACAGCCCATTAGTTTTACCAGCAGCAGAATAGGCAACTAAGCATCTCTGAGTAGTGTTTCTGCAAAAGTTCCTTCCCCCTGGCTGCTGAAAAAGAACTAACCTCCTGCCAGCCCCAGGGCTTGTGTGTGCCCAGGGCTGTTTTCTTCCAGTCAGCTGACCGTGTGCAGGTGCCAGCTAATACCCTGATTAGCCTAATGCCAAGGCAACCTGCAGCTGTGGAGCCCTATTCTAGCTCTTGGGGGTCCCTAGCTAAGCTGCCTCTACTTTTGAAGAAGCAGACACACCTTAATGCCCTGCAACAAACGGATTGAGAAAGACACTTCCTCTCTTTTCTGGCTTTTCAGATTTTACAAATATTTGAGGCTGGAGTCTCATAAAAAAGACTGCTTTTTGTGTTGCACTTAGAAATATGTTGCACATCGGTGCTACTCTACCAACAGCAATGGAGTACTCATCTATTTTCTCTACAATAGTCCAGGTATTTGTTTCCCAACGTTGTTTCTGCATTAAAGAAAGAAAACATAGCTCATCCCACATGTAACATGGCATTTATTTATATTTTCTTTAGCCTATAGACTAGCTAAGGTAATACAGTTTGTATTTAACCTTGTAGGTATGAGTATAGCATTGAGAAGTGCAACATTTTCATCTGCAGCCCAATTTCACCAGCAAATTCTCAGGGAAGCCTGTTTCAAGTTCCAGGATTCTGTGTTACCAGCAGTGACAAGACTATCATTGAATGGAGAATGGGACTTCAACAATAAAGTTTTCAGCATTGCTGGGCTACTCAGGAACTTGTCCAGACTAAGGACATGATGAAAACAGCCAGACTCACAGTAAGCTGTGCACAAACTAATGGCAATGGAGCTTAGGCTGTTTGTAACTGCAGCTCTTGCTTTATAGTGGGTTACAATAACTATAGATGGTGCTCAGAAGCTTTGGTTCTGTCCATTAAAGTGATGTTATAAATGACATTATAAAGTTCCACATCCACTGTGCAGACAAGGTTCCTTGGGTGAATTTGATATCTTTTATTAGACCAACCCAAATAGTTGGAGAATAGTTATTAAGCAAGCTTTTGGGTTCAAAAACCCTTCGTCAGGCTAAGGAAGTTTCAGCAGTTGGTGTGTGCACTTTGGTCTAATAAAAGATATCAAATTCACCCAAGGAACCTTGTCTGCCTATGTCCTTAGACCAACACGGCTACAACCTACACCCCTACATCCACTGTGCTTCACTCATTTCCCCTTCACATTTATGTGGGTTGCGATAACAATTAACACCCCTGTAACCTTTCCTCAGGAGCTGAGAGTCAAGCTGGACAGCTCCCTATTGCATGCATCATCTCAAGTAACATATTCTCCAGGCCAGATTGTGCCTTCCAAGACACCTAAGTAACAATAAAGACATAATGTGGCCTTCAAAGGCTTTTATTTTGGGCGATGACGCACAAGTATAAAGAACTCTCAGGTTCATTTTTGGACACAGAGCAGTTAAAAAATATTATTTTACTTACAATCAGAGCACATTAGGAAAAGAAATCAGTTAATACGTAGGGAACCCCAGGATGCTATTGTTACAGACAGAGCTTGAAGTCTCAGAACTGTTAGCATGACCCAGATATTGCAATCTATTAATCTTTGGCTAGTCCTATCTTAATGTTCGAGTTATGGTTGAGGATATAACCTACTTTCACTGAACAGACACTTCTGGAATAGCCACCAAACCTAAGGTTAAACACACTGCAGATGTTTCAGTTTCTATTTTACCTGATGTTTTCATCTAAAATGGGTCTTCAATATTAATTTAACATTATTATTTTAGCACAGTGGTGCTATATATTCCCTTAGGAAGCAGCGTGTGCTGATGTGACCCAGCAATCTATTATGTAATCAGTGCAGTCTGCTTTTCCTTGCCAGATATCATCAATAGCTCCTGGAACATTAATCTGTCCTAGACAGCTGGACCCTGGAGATAAGAACAGTGAGGGGCCACCTGGACTCGCACATTGTTTCAGGAAGTAGGGAATGGGGTGTGTGTTGTTACAGACAGATCATGGTAATTCTTTAAAAACATCACCTACTACCCATGCCATTTACAGCTCCTTCACATATTGATCATACAATATAAAATAATACAGAGTAAAGCTGGAGGAGGGGATTTCACAAAAACACTGTAATAAGGAGATCACAGGCTACATTACTCAGAATGGTATTTAGTGCCAAGTGCTTGAGATTCTCACAATATTGCAAATCCATTTTAAGACGGCTCAGCTGGCCCAGAACTCTTACTTATGGCGCAGGTGGTCTGGCATTCATACCCTAGAGTAGCTGTTTTCGGGGAAGAGAAAATGACGGGACTGTTCACCTCTGAAGTTCAAGATTTGTATTACTTTAGTAAACAGAAGTAATTGGGGACAATGCAGGAATCACTGGGTAAAATTCTGTCCTGTGTCAACTTAGATGATCTAATGGTCCTTTCTGGCCTTAAAATACCTCCAAACCTTTCCCCCTTTCCAAGCTCATTATGGCTTTGTCTAGATTAGAATTTGTGATTCTGGTAATTGGATCCCCTCATGACTGTAAGCACAACCCAGACTCTCCACAAATATGTCTTCCAGGACACAAAATTTGTGGTTCGTACCTAGCTTTTGTCCAGCATCATTTGGTTCATACCATGTCACACAGGTGTGAACCAACACTTGCCAACACCAGACTAAAACTTATGTTTATGTCAGAACCACCTAATGAGTCTGTAATTCACTGAGAAAACCTCTCAGCTCCAAGACAGATAGCTGAGAGTTTGCTCTTCCTCCGGTGCTTACCTGAGGGGTAGACAATTAGTTTGGCCAGAGGGCCACTTAGGGAGTTTTTGTGAGCGGTCACAGACCTGGGTCAGCACACCCACCACACCCCCCTTGCCACAGCTCATCAAAACTCCCTAAGTGGCCCCTTCATGCAGCAGGGCAGCTGGGATGGGGCTGTGCCCAGGCAGGGAGCAGCATCCAGGAGCAGGACAGGTGGGCAGGGACAGGGCCGGGGCTGGGATCAGAACTGTGGGGCAATGACAGTGCAGGGCTGGGGCCTGAGGCAATGCTGTGATCTGCTGTGTCCAGGAGTAGGATGGGCAGGAGAGGCTGGGGATCAGGATTGGGATTGAGGGGAAGTGACAGCATGGGGTGGGGCCTGGGGCAGAGCTGTGATCCACTTCCCACACACCCCTGCCAATGGAACCGACACCTGTCGCAAGGGCGTATGGCCAGCATATCACGGCTCTGCCCCAGGCCCCAGCCCCACACTGTCACTGTCCCGCAGTCCTGATTCTGATCCCTGGCCCTGCCTGCCTGTCCTGCTCCTGGACGTAGCTCCCCACCTGCTCATGACCCACATCCCAGCAGCCCAGCCTCATGCCCTGCCCGCATGAGTCCCCTCCCCGGCAGATGGGCCAGGATGCCTGGGCAGCGAGGCTAGGTATGGCAGCAGCAACCAGAAAGAGCCACCGTAGGGGCTGCCAGGAAACAGTCTGGCAGCTGCACCACCCCAGCCCCATTGTGTGCCTAGGGGTGGTGAGACCAGTCGCATGCTCCATGGCTCAAGTTGTGCCCTGCACCTGGGCCACGTGAGGCCAAGGGACCTGCTGCAGGCTGGGCAAAATCAAAATGCCTTGGTGGGCTTGATCCAGCCTGTGGGCAGTATTTTGCCCACACCGGCTTACCCTGTGTACTGCAACTGATCTCTGCCTGAAAGAGACTGAGAAGCAAGTAAACAAACATCCTTCAGAAGAGATTTTAAGCCACGCCCCCTTCAGGGACTATCTGACAGAAGTGCAGAGAGAGGTTCTGGATGGATATAGTAGACATTGTGGTCCATGGTTGCTGAGACTTGTAGCTAATTTCCAAATACCCCAATTTTTCCCCAAAGCATCAATTCTAATTCATGCGCTATTTGCTACTTGCTGAAAGTCCAACTTTGTTCTCCTCTCTGGCTTTGCTTTTTGCCTCAGTTACCTCTATCACTTCACCGTATTAGTGCCACAAATAACAGCACATTGTGGTAGAGGGGGGAGGCAGGGGGAGGGAATGACAGGCAAGGGGATGAACCTGATAATCTGTTGCAACTGTTGAAGTGGCATCAATATCAGCACTATTTCCACTGAGTAACTGCAACAGTAGCTCTGAAAACACACACACACACACACTCATCAGATGTCGCTTACACACACACATACAGGCACAGCAGAGGACTCTTACCTTAGTCTCTTTGATCTTGACAGCAATCACTTGTTTACGCTGCCGGATGATTTCCATGAGCTCATCACATTCCTCCATCAGCTTGGCCTCATGCATGGCTGTATTCACCTAGCCAGAAATATCAGAAATCCCAAACTGTTACAAGGTGATGCACTGACTCTGAGCCTGGCCACTCTAGGAGCTCTGACAGCTCAGACAGACAGATAAGCAAAAGCTTCTCATCTTGGACCCCATCTTGTCACCTGAGGTGTGAACCATTCCAATGCCAGCTGCCAGAGCCAGGGACGGAAGTGGAGAGAGCACATAATACTCCTTAATGTTTGCTATTGTACTTGGAACAAAAATAGAAGCAAGGTAACACGTTCTGTATTTATTTCTGCTTCAGCTGGAGGAATAAAGAGGCCAACAAGGGATGTGAAGCACCCACCCAGCATTAACCTTTTCAGAGCTGGGGCTTGGGTTTGTGGATTTAAGGTAAATAATGGGTCTCTTAAGGACACTGGACAGCTGTAATCCCTGGACACATACAGTGTGTTCAGTAGTAATAGAAGGAGACTCAAAATTACATTTCTTAATAAATTAAATGAATTGCATTTTCACCTGACAAAATCTGAGCCTACTTTTGAACACACAGCCCAGTGCAGGCAGCTCTGCTATTAGAATCTTCCTAGTCCCATTAAGATGCAGGGGACTGGTAGATGCCTCAACATGTCTGTTCCTAGCTCATCTGTATGAAGGATATATCCAAAGGGCAATCCTCATGATTGATTTTGACAAAGAAAAGGCTTTGTGGCCACATCAAACAGCATGCGATTGCAGAACAGGCCTCTCTATGCTGTCACCTTCAAAGCACACGGAGACAGAATAAAATGTGAGGGTAAATTAGGCTTCCAACACAATAACAGCCAGCAACTAGAAAGGAAAGAGTTTTGCTACATCACACTACAGAGCAGAAACCATTGCTTTCCTGTAAGCAGATGCATCTAAAATGATGCAGCATTTATACAGCAGATGAAACACTACTTAGTTTAAAAATAGATCAAAGTACCCAGTCTGGTTCATAAAGGTCAGTAGTGAAGTGCTAGCTCACCTCGGGGCCTAGTACAGGAAAGTGACTGTGGCATCAAAGTGCTCTGTACAAGCAAGAGTGAAAACCAACTAGCCTAGTGGGGACAGAGGGAGGAGAGGCTGAGGCAAGTAATGAAGAGCACTGAAGATCCCAATCAGCAAGGGATCTGCAGTGTTTTAATGAAAGGGATGAGTCCAGATGCAAACAAATACAAATGGGAATCACAGACAAGCTTGCTGCAGGCTTCTGTACTACTGAAGCCAGCTTTTTCATTCTGGTTTTACCCCAGTTGCTCTCCCCAGTGCTGTTTTAATTTGGTCTGAGGCATTGCAGAAGCCTACATTTATGAGTGCCAGTGAAAAGGCCCAGGCATGAAAAAGCCTCTGTGCTCCTTCCTGTTAGCTACTCTTGGCTGATGTCAAATGGACTTGAGGGTGCCCACCATCGCTGAGGATGGAGACTTCAGTCCTAGGACCAGCTTCAGCACTGGCAGCAGCAGGGTAAGTCCTACCCCCATGAACCAGTCAGTCTGGCTCAGTCTTACTCCAGAGGCACTCCAGTGTCACACTCCATCACTGCCCCCTCTGCCAACTCAACCAAGTGGCACTAAATGGGAAGCAGGGCTTGTTGAGCTGACCAACTCAGTCAAATAGGCCCCCATTAGGTGGCCATCAGTGAGTTCTTGTTCACCCCAATGTCTGTAGGATACAGAGAAGAGCCCTAGAGATGACAGGCTCTGTATCTCCATTTCATTAAGATTTCTAGGTTGGGACTACATTGTTTTGCCTAATTTAATGATCATGTTTCCCATCACCCTTCCTTCCAAATGGTCCCCAAGCATGCGTGAATCCAGGCCAGCATTCCAGTGAGTGGACCCTGTAGAAAGGGACCCAGCATACTGCCCAACTGCTGTTGCTGATATGCAAGTAGTCTTACACAGGTGGCATGGCACTTGCTCACACAAAGCACTGCCATGATCCAGTGCTCTGAACCCCTCTATTTCAGGAATGCTGGAAACTACTTGTTATTACTAATGGTGCACAAACTATCAGAGCATTATGCATGGGAGTATGGAGCATCCTTTTGGACACTGACAATTATCTCAGTTCTCCCTTCACATGTACTAGCTGCTGTCCATACTGCTCTCTGGCCTGCAGTGCTCTGATCTCATCTGAAAAAGTGACTGGAACACAGTATGGTTTTATCAGTGCTCCAAAACAAGTGCAAATGGCTGTTCCTCTCTGTTCCCAGGGTACATTGACAGAGCTGGGGCACTCTCTCTGAATGCCGTTTCGGCTTGGACTTCAGACTAGGTGACCAAAAACACATGGTAACTTTCTTTCCCTTGTATAAATTTATGTACATGCACTCTCCTCCACAAACCGCAGTAAAATGGACACTGCTAGAGTTGCCAGTGTCTTGAGATCTATTGCTCCAGCTGTGCCAGCAAGGAATGGAGCCATGAGCAGTGACAGGCTGCACTTTCACAGCTAAGTCCATTAATCTCACAGCCCTTCACTAATGTTCCCATCTCACTAACCTCATTCCTTGTATTCATGGTTTGGTGACAGAAGAAATAAGTGAGCTGTCCAGCCTAGCCATGCTGCTTCTTCCCAGAGCACAGATCATAAAGAGAGTCTGCCACTAATTTCCAGATTCGCTCTATCAAAGCAATACTGACCTAATGGTCAGCATTAGGATTTGGAGAAGAGGAAATGGAGCCAGCCTCATGGACGTTTTCTTCAAGCTATATTCTGGCCTGACCCAAAGTTATAGAGTCGGATGCAGGTGCTGTGAGGTCACTCTGTCCTGAGGTGGTCAGATGATGTGATCACAAGACATCCTTCAGGCCATAAGATCTATAGATCTATGAAACTGTCACTGTGTTCAAGGGCAGAAGCACCCCTTCCTGTACTCTATGGTTTTCTGAGAGTCAGGACTTCTTCAGTGGTTAGAGCAAAGGACTAGGTTCTTGGTCTTTTGGGCCATTTATAGATGTGCTTCGGGGGGGGGGGGAAGGCACTTTAATTAGTGAGCCACAATAATTAAAAACACCTGGGCCTCATGTGTATCAGTATCCCTGTGCTGAAAAAATGGTGGCAGGGCACCGAACTAAAGCTCATTCAACAAGCTTTAGTTCAAAGCTCCCCACCACCATTTTTCAGGGTGGGGATGCTGATACATGTGATGCTGGAGGCTGCTGGAGCATGTTAATTTCTGTGTTCCGGCAGACTTGATTAATTGAGTCTGCTCTGACGTGCTGGATTTACAGTGCATCAGAGCAGCCTCCTTGCATGTGTGCAAGTGCCCTTGGTATCTATGTTTAGTCTTAGCCACTAACTCTTTGTGTGACCTTGGACAGGTCTTTGCCTTTATCTCTCCTCCCTTTTTCCCATTTGTAACATGGAGATAACAACACTTAACAGGAGAGCTTTGAAACTTAACTCAGTGACTCTACCTTTAGCTAATGCCATAGCATAAGGACTTCAGAGGTGGGACTGTTCCACAGCAAAAATAGATGACTCTGAGGGAGCTGTGAGCCACAGGATGAATTGTATCTTGCCTTCAGCAAGTTCCAACTATCCCCATATCCCCTCCAACCTTCATCTGTGACCTATGTTCCTATTTTCTCACTAAGGTCAAGTACTAGCAATGGGGAGGTATGGCACAACCCTACTGCACTTTACATACCCAAATGGCACTTACCTAGCCATGTAACTACTGCTTTGGGTATGTATGCACAGTTTATATATTCCACATGCAGGATAGTTATGCAAGTATCCACACAGCCATTAAGCATACTCAGTAGACTGCACTCTGGTCAGGCAGGTACGCAGCTTTATATGTGCATACCTGGATGAGTATAAGTCCTGAATTTGTAGCTGGGCAAAATCCCATCACTAGCAGGGGGAGAGTGTGTATGGTATTGAGATATGGAGTTACATACTAGGGCTGTATGAAATTTTGCCAGCTATTTCATTTCGACGCTGTTTTGACTTATTTCGAGCTCAAAACAGCGAAATCAAAATGAAACAGAGAGCTTCGAAACAGCCTCAAAATGAAACGAGGCAAGTTGAAATGTTTTGACATTTTCAAAACGTTTCGCATTTCAAAGCTCAAGCTGGGCTTGCCTGCAAGGAAACAGAAACTAAAGCAAGGAGAGGGAGGGGGGAGAGGGGAGAAGAGGGGGAAGGAGTGCTTTCATTATTGATTGTGTAGCTGGCCAGTGACTGTCATCCTTTCCTGAGGTCTCTTCCAATCTCAGTCCTCTGGGGGAGGGATAGAAAAACTGCATAAAAGGCAGCATTGTTTGAACTGCCCTACTTTCTGCACACACAGTATCACCCACTCATGTCACGAGTTTTGCCTGTCAGCCACTAGAGGTACAGGGCCCCAGAACCCAGACTCCCCTTGTACCTATCTCCTTGACAGCTGGCAGGGTTCGTGGCCGCAGCAGGGCTTAGCAGGCCTGCAGTTTTCACCCCCTGCGCCCCAAGACAGACACAGTCCCACAAGCACCCATGTTGTGAGGTTTGCAGCTTTCACCCCGCTGCACCTTAACACACACAGGGTCACCCATGTCACGAGTTTTGCTTGTCCACAGCTTGAGGTGCAGTTTCCCCCAAACACCTGCATCTATCTCCTTGAAACCTGGCAGGCTTTGTGGTCTCAGCAGGGGCTAGCATGCCTGCAGTGTTGACCCTGATGTGGCTTAACATGTACAGGTGACATAAGTTTTTTGCTTTCAAGAATTTGAGGTGGAGTTTCCATGAAACCCCTGTACCTATCTCCTTGAAACTTGGCAGGTGTCATGCCCTCAGAAGAGGCTACCATTCCTGCACATTTCATCCAAATCAGGCCAGAAATGACAAAGTTATACGCTGTTTTGTGCTTCCCCATTATGGCCTATGGGTGAAATGTTGAAACAGAGTCAAAACAGCAAAACTGTTTCGATGAAATGGAACAGCAGTTCAGAATTGAAACAAAATTTGAACTGAAATGTTGTTCCATCGAAACGTCAAAACGCAAGTCAAAACGG